CGTCGTCCTCTTTGGCGTCGTGGTCGGTTCCGTCGTCGTTGTCGCCGTGGTCGTCCGTCCTCCTCCTCCTCCCACGTCGTCGTCGTCGTCCGTCGTCGGCGTCTCGTCGTCGGTTCTATTTCGTCACCGTCGTCGTCGTCGTCGTTGTCGTCGTCGTCTTCCCTCCTCCCTCGTCGTTGTCGTCGTCGGCGTCGCCGTCCTTCCTCCTTCGTCGTCGTTCGCGTCGTCGCCGTCCTCCCTCCTCCCTCGTCGTTGTCGTCGTTGTCGTCGTTGTCGCCGTCGTCGCCCTTCCTCCTCCCTCGTCGTCGCCTTCGTTGGCGTCGTCGTCGTCGTCTTCGTCGTCGTCGTCGTCGTTGTCGTCGTCGAAGTCGCCGGAGACGTCGTCGGTGTCGTCGTCGTCGTTGTCGTCGGTGTCGTCGTAGTCGGTCTGAACAGGTTTTGCAAACCAAGTTGCGGGTGGGAGGGTGGGATGTTTGCGCGAGCAGTGGAGAGGACAGCTTCAACTTGAGCAAGTGATTGATTGCACCACATAGTTCGCACCACACAGATTGCACAGCATCGGATGCACAACATATCTTGCACCACGTATTTTGTACAACCTATATTGCCCCACGTATATCGCAGCCCCATATGTTGCTAGGCGCATGCTGCTTGGGGACCACGCTGGCGGACACACACACACACATTGCTATACATGCATAGATAGATATAGCTATGTGGACTTGTACGACATACAGTTATGTACGCACATATGAATATGTTTGTATGAACATACTTGGTAGGTGTGAGCTAAGTTGTGTAAGCTGTGTGGTGTGAACTATAGATGTAAGCAGTCGGCACAGGTCTCATCGGCAGCATGTAAAGCCGGCGGCATAACAACCAGCCAGGAGATGCAAGCTAAGTGGCGGAATGGGTATGGTATGAGTATATGAGTTTCTGTGTGCGTGAATGTATATGTATTTATGTATACATATATACAGACCCAAACAACTATTTAGTACACGGTGTATGTGTAAGCTGTATAATGTGAACTATGTGGTGCAAGCAAACATGGTGTAAGCGAGGAGGTGCCTTTTTCTGGTGCAAGCTCTGCGATGTAGGCTCTATGACGCAAGCTATGTGGTGCAAGCTGTGTGACGCAATCGACGTGTTGCAAGCAATGTTGTGCAATCTGTATGGTGTCATAAGTATGGTGCGACCGACGTGATGCAAGCTACATGACACAATCTTTGTGATGCAAGCTATGGTGCAAGCTATATGGCGCGAGCTACGCGGTGCAAACAATATGGTGCAAGCTAGTTGATGTAAGTTATGTGGTGCAAGCTATGTGCTGTAGCCATGTGATGTGAGCTATTTGGTGCAAGCTATATGGTGCCAGCTATACGGTGCAATCGAGGCGTTGCAAGCTATGTGATGTAAGCTACGCTGTGTGTGCCTCAAGCTGTGCGGTGCAACCGACGTGGTGCGAACTATACGGTGCAGTATTTGAGGTGCAAGCTATGTGGTACAAACTATGCAGTGCGATCGACGTGGTGCAAACTATGTTGTGCAGCGGCAGGGGGGAGGAGGAGGAGGAGGAGGAGGAGGAGGAGGAGGAGGAGGAGGAGGAGGAGGAGGAGAAGGAGGAGGATGCGGAGGAGGCGGAGGAGGAGGAGGGCGAGGAAGAAGAGGAAGTGGAGGAGGAGAGGGAGGAATAGGAGGAGCAGGGGGGCCCATCGCCGATCCGAGAAATCTGCGCGGCACGCCAAAAGTGTAACTATCTATTTTTATGCTGTTTTTTCTTCGACGACTTCAGACGACACCAGGACGAGGATAAAATCGGGTGAGAATCAATCGGGACTCTCTGAAATCTGGCGGTTCTGGAGGATGTCTTGGGCGCCGCTGCCTCTTCAGAGCGTTCTGGAACGCTCAGACGGCGTTCCGGAACGCTCTGGAACGGACATATCTCCTCGTCCTAGTTCTGCCCGCGCTAAGGGGTGGTGGTGAAACAACTGCACGTGGTTGGCTTTCCGAGCGCCCTGAGGCGCTGCGACCGACCGCGTATCGAGGAGAAACGCCCAGCGGCGGGGCCGAAACGGGTCATTCGCAACGGCTGTGGTGACCCCCCCCCTCTCCCAACAGCCCCCTTCCCGCTGTCGAACCCCACGAACTGCGAAGAGGCCGCGCTATGGTCAGCGGCCCAGCTTATCGCTCCATTTTGGAGCCCCTGGGTCCCTCCGGGCCTCGTGAAAGGGGGCTCTGGAGGCCCTGCGGGCCTTGCAAATCCTGGGGACACCTCGGGCCACGGACGCCTCTCGTAGCACGCGATGTGAGGGAGCCACGGGGCGAACAAGCTGCACACTTTGCTCTCCGACCTGCCGTGCGCCACGTGAACGCTCAACTGCGAATCCCGGCTTGCTGCGGGTGCACGGGGCCGGCTCGAGCCCTCCTTTGAGCCAGCACGGCAAGCGGCCGGAGCCAAGTCCCGAGGCCTCGCAAGCCATTGCCACGTCGGCATCCTCCCCACTCCAACTCCGGTTTTCACTCTCCAGTGGTATACTCGTTCAGAGGACCTTCCTGAGACCACTCCACTCGTTCCGCTCTTGCGTCGATGCTGTGTCGAACGTCCGTCGAGTTGGGTCGGGCTGGAGTCGAACAAGAATCGAAGTATACCCAACCTGGAGTCGAACAGGTCCGTCAGGTGGGCCCCAGGAAGGTCCCCCCAAAAGAATATCACAACACCAGTGCTCATCCTCACGGCAGGAAGCCTGGGGTGGACAAGCGCGGGCGGATAATAAAGGGGAGAAACGAGTCAGCTGCGCGCAGCTGGTTTCCCTGGCGCCTGCCAGCGCCAGAGTCAACCGTACGTATCGAGGGGCGCGCCTGGCGGCGGGGCCGAAACCAGCTGCGTGCAGCTGTGGCAGTGGAGGGTATTAGGACGTAGCTCGCGGAAGCTCTTGATCGTCTCCATGGCGCCGAATAGCGCGCCCTACTGCGCGCAAAGCTTCCTCGCGTGGCGCTATTGGGACCTATTGGTCGCCATTGGGCGCCATTAGAGCACTGTTCGGCGCTACTGGGCGCTGTTTCGCTCTATTGAACGCTATTGGGCGCCATTCGCCCATGCATATTCAACCCAAGACGATCAAAAGCTCCCGTGTTTAACTGTGGTCAGGGCATTTCCCCCCTCGCGTGCCGAAGTGCTTGCATGAATTCGAAAACGGCCGCCAAACACCGTGTGGGCAGGCCACCGAAGCCTCGCCCTGCGAGCGCCCGCGGCGCTCCGTCGAGATGCGGCTGCCTCAGAACTGCGCAAGCAACGCGCGCAGGTCGCGGCAACTCTCGCGGAACGCCGCCGCCGCGTCCGCGCCTCTCGCGCTGCCCTCGAGGTGGCCGAGTGCCTCACTGGCCTTCTGGAACTCCAGCTCCAAGCGCCCCGCTCGGCGGCCGTGGCAACCGCGTCCGCCGCCGCAGGCGACGCGGGGGCCGCGCCCCCCGCGCCAGCAACCGCTGCTGCCGCCGCGCCCGCCGCCTCCGAAGCCGCGACGCCCGCGGACTCTGCGCCAGCAACACCAGCCGAGCCGAGCCGAGCCAGGGTCCGCGTCAGCAATACCAGCCGCCGTCGCCTCTTCAAGCCGCGCCGCCGCGGGGCACCGCGGTGGCGCCCGCGGCAGCGCGCTCGGGCTCGACGGCCCCGCCCGCAGCTCCAGACGCCCACGCCTCAGCCCAACGCGCCGCCGTCAAGCGTTGGCGACGGCGCGGCCGCCGCGCCGCCTTCGCCGCGCCAGCAGCGCCAGCTGCACGTCCACCATCGCCGCGAGGCTCTACAGCACTGCCTGCTGCCGCGGGCGCGGGGGGCGTCGAAACCAGGGCGAAAGCCGCGGCGGACGCCGCCGAACGCGCCGCGGCCGCGACAGTGCGCCGCCGAGCGCCCACTTTGGCCGCCGCCCGCGCTGCCGCCTCCACCAAGTCACGGCGTCGCCGACGGCGAGAGCCCCTCTATCGAGGCGCGGGGCGTGCATCCCGAGGGGGGGGGGGGGGGGGTGGGGGGCGACCGCGCGCCAGGCTTGCAACCGCTTGAGCCAAAATGGCGGTCAGGGCGCTTCCTCTCTGCAAGGGCAAAGTGCCCGTGTTGAATTGAATTCAATGCAATTCTGCGCTAAGCACGCTCGGCCGCTGCGGCGGCCGTTCTCGCTGGGCGCGCCGACGCCCCCCGCGGGCTCGCGCCTCCCCGGCCGAGGGGAAGCCGTAGGCCGCTGCCACCGACTCCGCAGGCGGCAGGATGAGGACGCCGTCGGCAGCGCTGGCGCCCGAGCCCCCTCCTGTGGCCGCCATGGCCGTCCTCTAGCACTTGGCAGGCCGCTCGCCGACGGCGTCCTGCGCCGCGCTGGCGCTCGCGGCTGCGCTCTCGGCCTGGTCGCAGTCCGCCGCCAGCCCCAGCTTCTCCGCCCAGCGGCCCTGCACCTCGGCAGTCGGCGCCACGGGCGCCCCGAAGGACTTCTTCCGTTGGGCCCCTGGCAGCAGGCCGCGCTCGAAGTCGTTGCGCGCCTGTGCCCTCGAGCCCATGCGAGCTCGGCTGACGCCGGCCCCTGCGCACTCGTCGCGGAGCCCGCGCCGGCACGTCTTGGGCGTCCGCGCATACATGAAGCACATGGTGCATGCTAGGAACTCGCCGGCTTCGCGCCCCATCATCAGCTGGCGGCCTCGGACCCGCCGCGGATCCCCACCAGGCGGCGGCGGCCGTCCGAAGACCACGTTGCCGCCAACCGCTGGTTGAGCGTGGATCCGTCGCGCCACGTGCCGATCGGCTGCTGGCACTGCGGCGGCTGAACTGCTGGCCAGGCCCTGGCCGCTGGTGCCTGCCGACGCAGCAGCCGCAAGTCGCCTCCGCACCGGCAGGGTGCCCCCGCGCTCCACCGCGCTCGAGGCCGCCGCGGCGGCCGACGCCATCAGCACCGCTGTTGCCGCCGCGCCTGGGGGGCCCCCTGCCGCCGTGCAGGTCTCGCTGGCCCCCCGCTCGGGCATGCCGAAGTCGAGGTCCTCGAGCGCCGCCGTCGGCCGGCAATCCCTGGCCGCGCGATCGGTAATGTGGACCTCGATCTCCGCCGCAAATCTGGCCGCGTCTCGGGCTCGGTCCGCGAGGCCCTCGAGCAGCAGTGTATCTTCGCCGTCAGCAGCGTGTAATCCTGCACCGAGCTTGGCTCGCTGGTCGGCCAGGCGGTTCCCGTCTCGCTCCTTCGCAGAGATCTCGCCGAGCCTGACCGCTTCCTTCGAAGTGTGGGCAAGGATGTGCCTCGCCGTGGCCCCCTCGATCGCGTCGCCGACCCGAGCCCGCAGATGGGCGAGGAGCGATGTCGGTCCCTGAGCCCGTCGCCGGTCCCCGATAAAAGCCCACGGTGCCCTTGCAGTCGCTGAGGATCTCGTAGGCCCCGATGAGCTCCTTCAGCGCGACTACTGCCGCATAGTCCTCGCTTGCCCGCGCTGTCTGCGTGGGCATCTCGCGCAGCGGGACCGCGCCCCAGGCCTGCGCCGTGATCTGGCCCTCCTGTGACATCGCGATGACTGCCCGGCCCGCGCTGCGGAGGGCGGGGGGGCGGCCGTTGATGCAGGAGCCGTCAGTGTAGACCTGCGTGCCTGGAAGCACCGCCATGGGGCTCTCCCATCCTATCTGCTGACTCTCCCAGCGAGGCTGCCAGCGCGGCCTCTTCGACAAGGGCGCCGCGTCGACGAGGAGGCCCTGGGCGAACGGCTCGCCAAACATATCCCCGAGGTTGCGTGCCACGCTGGCTCCCTGCAGCAGATCTGCTGGAAGACGATCCCGTCTCCATGCTTGCCAGGCTGGGCACTCAAAGTGCTGTGGAACATCGTTCCTGCTCCTCCCTGGCGCAGGAGGCACGAACGTGGGGCTGAAATCAGTCTTGTGCCTGGCGAGCCTGGCCTGGGGCCAGTGGGGCGCTGGCGCTAGCCGGCGCAGGCAGCCCTTATGTCCAGCAGCTCGTTGACTGGCTTCCACGCTGGAGGTAGCCGCCGCGGCCAGGGCGCCTCGGCGCGCGCGCGGTGCCCCTCCAAGGCGGCAGCCCTCCTGGTCGCTTCGCGGGCGCGCTCTGCCAGGAAGGCGGGCGACCAGCGCCGCGCGTCGAACTCCGCGCCCAGCTCGTCCATGATGGAGAGGCCATCCTGCGTGAGCTGCCAGCCGATGCGCCTCAGGGTGAGCACCAGAGCCGCCGCGGGGTCTCGCGCAGCCGCCCATGGCCTCTGGCTGCGCTCGAGCCTGAGGCTGGGCGCCAAGCAATCCTGCGCGGCCATGCCCGTCGCAACGGCCAGGTGGTCCTGGCGCCGGCCGCCTGTGGGGCACCGCGGCGCGAGACTGGGCACTGCTCCTGGGGCCAGCCGCCCTGCGCTCGTGGCCGCGGCCGCCCTCGGGGCCCGCGCGCGGCCGGGCGGCGCTCCAGAGGTCGCCGAGCCCCAGAGGGCTTTCGCCGTTGGCCCCGCCCTCATTGCTCGGGCTTGCCGCAGGCCTGGGCCGAAGATCCGTCCGAGGCGAGGCGCCTGCCGCAGGGCTGCAAGCTCACGCGCCACTTGCGTGGTCACCCTGCGGTGGGCCCCCGCCGTCGCGTCGCCTCCTAGGTCGCGATGTCCCGAGACGAGCGCTCCAGAGGGCAGCGGCCAGCCCTCCTGCGCCTGCAGGCTCCCCTGCAGGTCGACCGACGACGCCAGCAACTTCGTCTTGTTCCAGTTGATGGGCAGGCGCTTGTCGCGCAGCATGGTCGCGGACCCTGTGGCGAACTGGCTGATCTGGCGCGCCGGGAACCGCTTCGTGCCGATGCCGTGCCCCGCCGCATCGTCGATCACGTTGACCGCCCGTCCGACGTGGAGGAGCGCGCGACCAGAAAGCAAAAGGTCGCACATCATCAGACGAACCATCATGGTCGCGCAGGAGCAGCCTGCGATCGCCGCCCCAGCCGCGCAGATCTCCTCGCTGACGGCGCCGTCCACCGTGGCGCGCCTGGGGCCAGCGTGGGCGACGCAGAGGGCCTTCGTCAGGCCTGGGCTGAAGTGATTCGCCTTCGCCGCCACGAGGAGCTGCTGGTGGTCGATCCACTCGTAGAACTTGCGAATGTCGAAGTAGACGGACACCCCCTCGAAGCCCTTCGAGCGTGCCCGCCCGAGGTAGAGGTTTTGAAGGTAGGCCGCCCTGTCGCAGCTGGTGTCTGAGCTGCTGCCCCAGATCTCGGGCAGCTTGTGTTTCGTCTTCCATCTGGCGCAACGGCGCCTCCGAATGCGGCCCCATAATCGCAGCCCGAAGGGCATCAGCCCCATGGGCTTCGCCAGGAACGCGATCAGCGTTGCGAAGAGGCCCGGGGATCTGGGATCTCGCTCCCAAGCAGCCAGCAGCTCCACCGCGCGGGCCGCGGGAGGCTGGCCCAGGAGCAGCAGCGGGCGAGGGTGGGACCCGCCCCAGCCCAAGGCGGTCTTCTTGGGGAAGGCCTTGGCCGCAGCGATCACCTCCACCCCAGTGATGGCAGGCAGGTTCGTGATCACTGCCCAGCTCTCAGGCGGGCGAGGTCCTCTTGCGTCCTTCTCCAAGTGTCCAAGTGCGGCCAGTCGGGGGCCCTCCTGTCGACCCAGAGCTGCTTCCATTCCTTCAGCGTCTGGTCCAGGGCCGCCTGGCCTACCAGCGGAACTGGCGGGGCGCTCGCTGGGCCTCCCTCGTCCAGGACGGAGAATTTATCCTCGTGCTGCTGCTTGCTGACTGCATGCGATCCGTTGCCTCCTGCTGCAATGGCGTCGTCCACGAACGCTATCCAGCGGCGCCGCGCAAGCTGGGCGTCCGACTTGGCGCGGTTGGCCGTGGCTGCCTGGATGGCCAAGGAAGAAGCTGCCAGCGCTCGTGGACGCTTCCACTTCCCCCAGAAGCAGCCGCGCGCTCTCGGGCGTGAACATGTCGCAGCCCCGCTGGGCGAAGTCCGGCGCCAGAGCGAGGGCTGCATCCGTTAGGTGCCCCATGTAGGCCCAGTGTCCAGCCGGCGGAGCCAGCGCCGCCGCGGCCGCCGTCAGCTGCCTCGTGAGTCGCCCCAGGGACATCCAGAGCCTCGTCAGCGAGCTGACCTTCCTGGTCGTTTCGGTGCGCTGGAGGCCCTTCAAGCGCTTCTGGACCCTGCGAGCGCCCCGTGACCTGCCGCAGTAGGCGGCGCCATCCTGGATCTCGAACAGCTCGATCAGGTGCTTCTCAGCCGCGCCATGCAACTCGAGCGCTGCTTCATCGGGAAGGCCTCGAGCATCCAGCAGCGGAGCCTGCCGCTGCACCTCTAGGGTGGAGCCAGGCGTCACCTTCTCCGCTACGTCGAACCTCCACTTCAGCGCCCAGACGTGGGCCAGGGCGCCAAGCTTCGCGAATGAGAGGCGCGCTGGCACGTGCGGGCACGTCGTCGTCGGCCGAAGTGCCTCGACCTGGGGCCCGAGCGCCGCCGGCGAAACCGACGCCACGAAGTAGTCGTACTTCTTGCCGTTGAGGTCGGCTGCTAGGGTTCCAGCGCGGCACCTCCGATCGAACGAGGCCGCCATGGCGCCGACAGATCTAACGGCTCCATTTTCCAATCGTCCGCCACGATGAGAGGCTCGTTGGCAGCGTTCAGAAACTCCTGGACCATGCCGAGCAGCCCGAGGTTGATGTCAGTCAGCTTCGTGGAGTGCCCCAGGCACACGCTGACCGCCACGATCACCAGGCCCCCGAAGGCGGCTCGTCGAAGGATCACCCGATGCGAGAGGTCGCCCAAGCCCTGCTCGATCTTCGCCACCCCTCTGAAGCTCGCCGTCAGCGCCCCCGCTCCCGACGAGACCTCCTGCGCCAGCTGCCCCGCGCGCCTGCAAGGGCCACGTGCCGCCTGGAGGCCGTTCCTCGCGTGCCAGCTCTGCGCTGAGGATGCAGCCGCCGAACCTGTGAAGCGTGTCTCCTGCACCGAGAAGACATCGTCCCGGGCGCCCTCGTCGCGGATCTGCTCGATCGCCGTTCTGGCTTCCGCCCGGGTGGAGCCGTGGATCGTGATCGCGCTGGCTGCCGACGGCGCCCTGGGGAGCGCCTCGGCTAGCTTCAGCTGGACCACTCCCAACGGCCTGCCGCCTGCTGCTGGGGCTAAAGCCGCGGCTGCGCGCCAGCAGCCGCCGCCGCGTTGCCTGCAGGCACCGTCGCCAAAGGACCCAGGTCGCATGCCTCTGCCGCCAGCTCGCGCACAGCACTCCTCGGCACCCGAGGCCAGGGCCCCGACGCTGGGGGGGTGGCGCTCCGCCTGCCCGCGTTCGGCAGCTGGCCCCATCCCGCCAGCCATCCCCAGGTCCGAGTCGGAGCCGATCTCGCCGCCGTCGATGGGGCAGCTGTCGCCCCATCGCTCGCGAACTCTGGTGGCTGGCGAGCTCTCGCGGTCGACGAAGCGCCCCTCGACTGCCTGCAACTGCTGCATGGTCGACTCCCACGCGTCGGCGAAGTCGCCCGCCTGGTGCGCAGTCGGGAGAGTCCGCAACTGAAGGAACAGCCCGCGCGCAGCATGCATGTCGTCCCCCGAGACCTGCATGCGCTCCTGCGTGGACTTCGCTGCAGCTGCCTCCTCCTCCAGCTCAGCACGCCGCTCTCGCGCCTCAGCACGGCGCTCCTCAGCGTCCAGCTGGTCTGCCGCGGCCCGCATTGCCGCCTCTGCTGCTGCCACCGCTGCGCCCGCCGCCTCGAACGCCTTGCAAACTCCTGCCGCCCTGCGCTCAGCCTTCCTGGCCGACTTGGCAGCCCTGCGCAAGCGAACCGCTGGAGACAGGCCGGCCTCCTTGTCCTGCGCCTGGGCTGCGGCAGCCTGCTCCCTCTTGGCGCGAAGGGCGGCCAGCCGCTCAGCCACAACAGCGTCTTCATCACCTCCGAGGCTGGGGCAGGCCTACTGGTGGGCGATGGCACGCTCCAGCTCGGACAGCCGGAAGCCTTCGGCTGGCTGCCGCCTCCTTGGCTGCCCTGGCTGCTGCCGTCTCCCCCGCCGCCAGAGTCGGAGGCTTGGCCAGCTCAAGAGGCGGTTGCGGCACGGGCCTTGCGGCGCGCCCGTTTGCCCTTGCCCGCCCTGACGAAGCCCTCGGCGTCTGGCACGGGTTGGTCGCCCGCAGCCGCCCCCCGCACACGCGCCCAGGGCGAGGCCACGGCATGGCAACTGGAGCACCACCCTCTGGTCGCGTAAGACCATTGCCCGCACGGGCAGATCCAGTACGCACCGCTCCTGCCGCCGCCACCGCCAGCGCCGCGAGCACCAGCGCCAAGGGAAGCGCCGCCCTTCGCGGGAGCCACCATCCCGCCGAGCCCGCCCGCCTCGCACCCGAGCGCTGGCCCAAAACTGCGTCGCACTGGCGCAAAGCGAGGAGCCCTTCGCGCTTTGAGCGCCGCGGACGACTCGCGGTCGTCGGGCGTTCCATGGCCTTGAGCCAAAATGGCTACGGACGCGGTCAGGGCATCGGATGAGGAACTATTGGGTAAGGAGTCCAGGGTCAGCCGGTGGAACACAAATTGAGGCCTGGCCTTCGAAATCAACGCCGCCCTTATCAGAGCGGGAATTCTCCAAAGTCTGAAAAACTCCTGAACACAATATTCCTTAACCAACACCCCACCTCATACCATGCAATCATCTTGAGAACCGTCATGCGCCCCATGTCATCCGCTCCGGGAAGGGCTCCAAATTCAGAAGCGCCGCGCGACCCCTCGCCGAGAGGTCACCACGCAAAACATGCCGGCCCCCTTTCAGGGCCTTCCAGACACTTCGGCCGGCGAATTCGTTACCGACGCGGAGAATACCGCTCAATCTACATGCGGCCTCACTTGAGCATCGTTCGACCGGTCCCTATCCCCACTGGCGAGGCCGTGGCCCCATTGGCAGGCCTGCCCACCTATGAGTAGGGATGTATGCCCGCTCCTGCCGGATTCGCGGGGCCTGCCCCCACCTGGGAGGACGGGCTGGTGGGGCTGAGATGCCATGGCCATGTCGGGGATGGGGATGGGTTGCGGTCGGGAACTTTTGCTTATCGCGTCGCCACGGCGGCCCAGGCGACACGCTGTGCTCTGCGAGTGGATGGCGTGTCGCTCCGCTCCGCGGGGCGGGAGGCTCGGAAAGGCTCGGGACGTGGAAGCTTGGGAATGGGAAAGTTGACAGCATGCCGCACCGAAGCGTGGTGGGCCAGAACCGGCGGAGCGACACGCTGTCCAAAAGTTCCCGCCAGCATGCGATGCTGACCGCTGCGCTCCAGCGGCGGCAGCCTAGGGCTGAGGCTGGCCCTGGCGCAGCGCCGCGACCTTGGCCTTCTTGCGCCTCTTGAGCTCGCCCTGCGGGCACGCGTGGCAGTACGGGCAGGCGGCCGCGAGCTGGCACCCCTGCGGCTTGTAGTGCCATGCGCACGGGCTGCAGCGCTCGCTGCCGTCGTGCAGCAGCGACCCCTGCGAGCTCGCGGCGGCCGGGTCGCCTGGGGAAGCGGAGCCACACGGCATGGGCACGACCCGCCAGAGGTCCGCACCGAGTTCTTGGATCGGCGCTGCACCCCTCCCTGGCGCGCGGAGCGCGCCAGGGCAGGTGCCACAGGGGGGTCACAGCGCCGACCCAAAAAATCCGCACGTAGCTCCGAGACATACTGTTCAAGCCGTTTCCTCTTCTTCTTCTTCTTCTTCTTCTTCTTCACCAGTCCTCGGACCAGGGCGAGTTGAGGCAGCGGCAGCTCAGAATCGGTCCCCAGGCCCGTCCGGCACCAGTTTTCCGAGCTGCGCCCAGCTGTGGCCACGAGGGCCTTTCCCCCCAAGGCCAACATTGACGGCGCGCACCAAGGGGGTGGAGGGAGGGGGGAGGCTTCTTCGAAGGAGGCTGCTTCTCAGAAGCCCTCCCCCGCCTCCCGCCCCCCCCTTGCGCGTGGCTGAAAACGGCCGCTGTCCCAGCTCGCCCTCCCGGGCTCGCCGCCGCAGCTGGGCTGCGCGCCTGCCCAGGAGGCGCCCGGGCCGAGTGGCGCCTTGAGCGCTGCCGCCTGCTCGTGAGCGTCGTGGTCGTCGCCGCCGCCGTGGTCGTCGCGGTCGTGGCCGCGGCCGTCGTCGCAGTCGTGGTTGCCATCTTCGTCGTGGTCGCCGTGGTTTTCGTCGCCGTCGCCGTCGTGGTCGCGGTCGTCCCCGTCGTCCTCGTCGTCAACGTGGCCGCCGTCTTCGTCGTGGTTTTCGTCGGCGCCGCCGTCGTTAGAGAGAGAAGGATGTCATGACAAATTGGCTCAGGATGCGTTCCAAGATTTCCAAGAATATCTAGCGGCCTGCGTTTCTGCGGCCGGTGTGAAGCAGTAGGGGATATCGGAGATCCAGGAAACCTGGGACATCTTGGGATGCATCGTTATCATGACCTCTTGCTCCTCCGAGTCGTGGTCATGGACGTCGCGGTTCTCGTCGCCGTCACCGTCGTGGTCGTCATGGTCGACGTCGTGGTCGTCGGCGTGCTCCTGCGAGGCCTGCGGTACCTGCGCAGCGAGGCTTCCGGCGGTGGCGGCGTGCTGTCTGGTAGTGGCCGCCACGGCCGCGGCGAAGAGGGCGTCGGCCGCCGCGGACGCCGAGGCGAGCGCGCCGCCTCCGCCGCCCGGCGGCCCCTGGAGCGCGCCCTCGTGATAGCGAGCAGCAATAACCACCCTCATCATAATCGATGGTCCTGGTCCGCCTCCTCCTCCTCCTCCTCCTCCTCCTCTCTCCTCTCTCCTCCTCCCTCCTCCTCCTCTCTCCTCCTCTCCTCCTCCTCTCCTCCTCCTCCTCCTCCTCCTCCTCCTCCTCTCCTCCTCCTCTCTCTCCTCTCCTCCTCCTCCTCCTCCTCCTCCTCCTCCTCGTCCTCCTTTTCCTTCTCCTCCTCCTCCTCCTCCTCCTCCTCCTACTCGTTCTGCTCCTCCTCCTCTTCTCTCTCCTTCTGCAGTTCTTCCTTATACATATATATACACAAATAAATGACTCATCCCTGTCGCACCCCGAGACTTGTCGGTAGGATGGGCCGGGCGTTTCGCCTGAGACTTCCTGAGCACCGCGCGCATTCGTCTCAAAAGTTGGCAAGAGTTTCACGGATGAAGGGCGGGCGGTTTCCGAAATGTGGCTCTCGCCTTCGCGCCGCGCACATTCGCTGTACACATTTGCCAGTTTCACGGATGCAGGGCGGGTGGTTTTCAACATGTGGCTCTCGCCATAGCGCCGCGCACATTCATGGTAAATGCTTGCGCGCGAGTTTCTTCACGGATGGTGGGCGGTTGTCTTTCAAAATGTGGCTCTCGCATTCGCGCCGCACGCGTTCGTCTTAAGACTTTGCATGACTTTTACGGGTGGAGGGCGGGTGGTTTTTAACATGTGGCTCTCGCCATAGCGTCGCGCACATTCGTCGTAAAAGCTTGCAAGGAGACTCACGGATGGAAGGCGGCTCCTTTTCAAGATGTGGCTCTCGCCTCAGCGCCGCGCACATTCGTCTTAGGAGTTTACAGCGTGCTCAAGGATTATTATGGCTGGCATCCCAGCAACACTGTTTTGCCACGACGTAGATGTCGGACTGCCAGGGCGCAGCAGCCACGTGGATTCGCGGTCTTGGCATCCTAGGAACGGTGTTCTGGCGCAGTTCAAGATCGCCAGGGCGCACGGCCGCGTTGATTCGCTGCGTTGAACTCTGAGGACATTTTTGCGGCACGGCTCAAGCTGTTCAGACGATTGTCTTCCAACGGTAGGTGAAACTATATTCCTTGAAGGGACCTGCGAAGAAGGATATTGCAACATCGTTGGCGTCTTGGGTTCACACTGGTCCTCCGCCTCCTCCTCCTCTCTCTTGCTCGCCACGGGCACACAAGCACATACCACCAATAATGCAACACGGGCTGGCGGATGGAGCGAAACGACCAAAGAGAAATCACTGATCTTCAGAAAATGTGTCAGGGCCAACGTGTGCCTGTCCACCGAAGCCCTTCGATGCGAGGCAGGTGGCGTTGCAACGAGGGCCGATACACCCTGCGTTCTACAGGGGAGCTGCAAGGGGCGAGCACACATTGGGCTAACGCACGCCCTGAGGTCGAAACAAGAATAACCGACGCGCGAAGTCCCTCAGCACACGCACCCCAGGAAGGACACGAACAGAGGGCAAGGCTGTTGAGTGATCGCCCAGGGCCGCCCAATACGTCAATGGTGGGGGTCGGGGTGGTCTTTCCCTCCCTTGACGTGAGACGAGGCCAGGACACGGACAGGATCGGACCGGGACAACTCGGGGACCTCGCAGACCCGGCGGCTCTGGAGGCTGCATCGTGCCCGCCGCGGCCGTGCCGGAGCGCTCCAGAACGCTCTGCGAGCGCTGCGGGACGCTCTGGAGTGATCTACCCTCTCGCCATCGCTCGGACGTCCATTCCTCGTGTATTTTTCGATTTCGTGCGTGTTTGTTTCGCCAAATGATCAAGGATGGTCCTCGATGGCCGTCGCCGAGAAAAAATGCACACGTCCGAGCGATGCCAAGTCCTGGTCTGCGGCCCGCCCGACCTCGGGCCATGGCGGCATCATGCCCATCGCGAACGGCGTGGTGGGTGTCTGCGGCCACAGCATGGAGGGCGTCGCCACCTGAGGAAGCCCAAGCCCAGATCTCGGACGATGTTCGTTTTTTCCCAACCATCCTGTGGTGTTGGGTCCTCGTTTTGAAGAGACGGTGGCCCGCGTCTCCTCCTCCTCCTCCTCCTCCTCCTCCTCCTCTCCTCTCCTCTCCTCCTTCCCCTCCTCCCCCCTCCTCCCTGCGTTTCACCCACCCAGTACAGCGTTTCGTGGCCCCATAGGAGCTCCGCCGAAGGCCCCAGTGCTGCCGCCCGCATGCGTCACCCACACCCAATTCGGCACGCCCCTCACACCCACACCCAATTCGGCACGCCCCTCACACGTTTCGTGGCCCCATAGGAGCTCCGCCGAAGGCCCCAGTGCTGCCGCCCGCATGCGTCACCCACATCCAATTTGGCACACCCCTCACACGTTTCGTGGCCCCATAGGAGCTCCGCCGAAGCCCCAGTGCTGCCGCCCGCATGCGTCACCCACACCCAATTCGGCACACCCCTCACACGCTTCGTGGCCCCATAGGAGCTCCACCGAAGGCCCCAGTGCTGCCGCCCGCATGCGTCACCCACACCCAATTCGGCACACCCCTCACACGTTTCGTGGCCCCATAGGGAGCTCCACCGAAGGCCCCAGTGCTGCCGCCCGCATGCGTCCCGCACACCCAATTCGGCACACCCCTCACACGTTTCGTGGCCCCATAGGGAGCTCCGCCGAAGGCCCCAGTGCTGCCGCCCGCATGCGTCCCGCACACCCAATTCGGCACACCCCTCACACGTTTCGTGGCCCCATAGGGAGCTCCACCGAAGGCCCCAGTGCTGCCGCCCGCATGCGTCACGCACACCCAATTCGGCACACCCCTCACACGTTTCGTGGCCCCGCTGGCCCCATGCTATGCGTCAAGACCTCCGCCGAAGGCCCCAGTGCTGCCGCCCGCATGCGTCACGCACACACACACACAATTCGGCACACCCCTCACACGTTTCGTGGCCCCATAGGGAGCTCCGCCGAAGGCCCCAGTGCTGCGGCCCGCATGCGTCACGCACACCCAATCCCGCACACCCCTCACACGTTTCGTGGTCCCATGGGGATCTCTACCGAAGGCCCCAGTGCTGCCGCCCGCATGCGTCACCCACACCGAATTCGGCACACCCCTCACACATTTCGTGGACCCATAGGGAGCTCCGCCGAAGGCCCCAGTGCTGCCGACCGCATGCGTCACCCACACCCAGTTCGGCACACCCCTCACACGCCTCGTGGCCCCATAGGAGCTCCGCCGAAGGCCCCAGTGCTGCCGCCCGCATGCGTCACCCACACCAAGTTATTGGTCGCTACCAAAACTCAGCAAGTTAACGAGTTAACGAGCCCAAAACTTCTAACTACTGGCGGCGGCGGCGAAGCCTTAGCCGAGGGGAGCAAAGGAGGGAAGGCGCCCCAAAGGCACCGGGGAGGCCCCGGGGAGAGGGCCCACGAGGGCCAGGCCCGGGGAAAGAGCCCCCCAGGGCCGGAGGGGAGAAGAGGAGAGAAAGAGGGGAGAGAGCGTCACTCACCCCGCATTTTGCAGCACGAGGTGCGACCAGCTCCACCTCCGTCTGAGCGGCCTCGCTCTGGCCGCTCTGAGCGCGGCCTCTGCCGTGCCACGCTCTGGCCAGGTGGCCCACCCGCCATCGTCCGTCATGCCGCGTGGAGCGTGGCTACGTCGCGGGCCATGGCCGCCGCGACGCCCCTCGACTGCTCCTCCGAGTCGTAGAGGTAGCCGTGGAAGGCGTTCGAGCTCCAGCGTCCCCATCTCTTGACCGCCTCGGCATCGCCCAGCGCGTGCCACAGCGCTGAGGCGCCTCCGATGCGGAGGGAGTGGCTCTTGAAGCGCTTCGGCGGCAGGCCCTCCGCCGCAGCGGCTCGCTGCAGTGCGGCCTGGAGCTGCTCCCGCTTGACCATGCGGCCCGAGGCCCAACGGAAGAGCGGGCGGCGGCCCTCGGAGCCCTCCTGGAAGCGCTCGGGCGCGTGGAGGCGGAGGAGCTCCAGGGCCTCCACCGGGCAGACCTCCGCCTCGGCCCTGTGGTGAGTCCTGCATGCTCCAAACGCCCGCTGGTCCGTCTTGGTCTTGCGAAAAGTGATCAGGGCCTTGGCTGCCGAGCCTACTCCAGGAGCTGCAGCACCTCCTTCTTTGTCGTGGAATGCCACATCGACCCCGCGCAGGCACATCTGCTCATCGACGCCTCCGCTGTCGACGATCTCCTTCGCGCGGCAGAGGTAGAAGAAGCCCGTGCAGAGGGCCCCCCAGAGCACCACCGAGTCGAAGTCAGGTCCCCTCGTGGCCCTCTCTCCCTGGCACGGCGGGGTGGGGCTAAGCTCCTTCTTCAGCCAGATCATCATGCGCGGCGTGACGCCGAGCTTGCGTTCCTCCTTCGGGCCGCCCTTCTGGAGTGAGTCGATGAGGACCTTGATGCGCTTCTTCCCGACGAGAGGGTCGCCGCCTCCTGCCCGCACGTGGCCGCCCTGGAGTGCAAAGAGGGTGCTGAGGATGGTGCCGTTGCCCTTGCCCAACCAGCCCAGGTAGCCGATGAAGCGCAGGAGCTCCTCCTCGTCCTCGGTCACCTGCCTCTTGGAGTCGCCCTCGAACAGCGGCGGGATACCCCTGCGGGTGCACCACCAGAGCCACTTGGACCAGGCCTCGCCGTAGCTGGTGCGGGTGCTGTGCGCCAGCCCGCTGGCCAACTTCTTGTGGACCCACTCCTGGACCTCTGCGAACACCGGGACGTCCGGCGCCAGGTCGACGAGGTGCTCGGGGGCCGAAATGGAGACAAGTCCCAGCTGGGGCATCTTCTGCTTGCGAGGGGGCCTGGCGATCTCGGGCAGTGTTGACGCCCCCGCAGCGCGAGCGGCGTCGTGCTCGTCCTGGGTGCCGCCCATGTCCTGCCAGACGAGGCCCGCTGCGAGAGCCGCCGCGCGTGCGTCGATGCCCCCGTCAGCCGGGCGGAAGGTGGCGCAGCGCGTCGGGGGGCGGCGGTCGGCCCCCTCTCCCGGGGTGCTGCCGCCTGCGTGGCGGCCGGGCTCGCCGGGGCGTGCTGGCGGTAGCCCCGGTGCAGCGTGTGGGAGGGGGGCCGGTGGCGGGCGCCCGGGCAGTAGACCCTGCCTCCAGCGTGCAAGCCATTCGCGCATGCCACGCTCCTTGGCCTGCGCGTCGAGGTCGAAGCAAGCGCCTGCGCTCGCTTCCCAGTCAAGGGCAGCTCCCGCCCAGAGGGCGATGGCGCCGGCGAGTCGAGCCCCCGTGTCGCCCGCGATGAGCCTCGTGACATGTGCGGCCGTGGCGTCGTCCTGGGGCGTGGGGAAGTCCTCTAGGGTGCCACCCACGGCAAGCCAGCTCTCCTCCAGCGTGACGCGCCTGACCCCGTGCCCCGGGCCCTTGAAGTCCCGGATCAGGGGCGGTGGGTGTGTCGTCCAGTCGGCCTGGATGGTCGGGAGGGGTCCGCCCGTGCTGTAGACCACCTCGCGTCCCTTGTCCGACCAGAGGTGGCCGACGCCCACTGGGAGGAGCCGGTCCTCCGCCCTCCGCATGCGGGGGTCGGCCTCGAAGCGGGCGTGGAGCAGCCATGCGTCGGGCGGCAGCGCGCTCGGGGGCTGCAGCACGGGGCCGACCGCGGGCGCAATCGGGCGCCTGAGGTCGAGGGTGTCGAACGTCCATGCCTGCTGCTCGTCGCCCACGTGCCTCGTGCCCAACAGGAGGGCACGGCGGCGCGCCACCAGCTCCCCGACCTCGGTCGCGAGGAGGTCCTCGGTGCTCACCGTGAAGCCCTGCTCCTGCAGACTGCGAGCGGCCTCGCCCAGAGGCAGCTGCCGCGGGGCGTCGAGGGCGATCCGCTGGGCGCCCAGGCGGGCGGCCTGCCTGGCCGCCTTGCAGGCGCTGCGCCCCGTGGGGTCTGGGCCTAGCGTCGCCAGGATCGCCCAGACGGGGCCCGCGCTGGGGTCTGGGTCCTCGCCGATGGGCGCGGTGTGCGCCGTGCCCCCCAGGCCCGTCCAGATCTTGGAGAAGAAACCTGCTCCTAGGCCCCACTCGAGGGCCCTCCCCGGGGCCGTGGCGAGGGGGACCTCTCTGAACCTCCTCTTCAGGCGGGCCTCACGGAGCTGGAGGGCGATCCGGCCGTCTTCGGCGTCGCCGCCAAGCAAGCGGAGCACCCTGCGGCGAACCCCGTTGGCGACGAGGTCCGCCCACTCGTGCGCCGCGTCGACGCTCGAGAGGCCCAGCTCGTCCATGCGGCGCTTGACCTCCTCCTGGCTGGCCCTGGAGCCGAAGTCCGCCGTGACGTTGTGGTAGGTACGGAAGAAATGGCCGATCGTCATGAAGTTGTACTTGCACTCAAGGTAGTGCAGAATCCTAAAAAGGTGGCGTACGAGTCGAGGTCGAGGGTGTCGTTTCTTGAGCCAGTTCGTGAATGCCATGTTGTCCGTTGCCAGGAGCACGATGCGTCCGCTCCACGATGGTCCCTGACGCCCGGCTAGGACGATGTAGGCCATGGCCTCGCCGAGAGCGATCTCGACAGTGCTGTCGTCGGAGTCGCCGAGGGCCTCGCCGAGCATGCCCTTGTAGTCCTTGAGGTCCTGCCGCAGGTAGATCTTCTCGGTCCAGTCGGCGCCGAAGGCAACGGACGTGGTGGCGTCGGTGGTGACCCAGACGACCTTGGCTGCTTCGCCGGGCAGCGCGAGGCGCTCGCGCACGTCCAGGAGAGTGTACATGGAGACGGTGAAGCGCTCCCCCCATACCTCGGGCCGGGCGAGGAGGAGTCGTAGTAGCTCGCAGGTGTCCCACAGGTCCTGCCATGCTGCTTCCTCCGCCCCCGGCTCGACCTTGGGCCTCAGAATCCCGTCGGCCTGCGGCGTAAGGAAGGCGTCCACTGCTCTCAGCTCGGTCGCCAGCGCCGGCATGGCCGCCATCCAGCTGGTGCCCGTGCCTCTCAACACCTGCATGTCGCGGAGCCTCGCGCCCTTGTAGCCGCTGTCGTAGCACGTGTCGCTAAGTAGGT